ATCTCCCCTGGCCGGTGCCTACACTGAGCCAGACACCCAGGCCACGCTTAGCGCAGACAGGCTGAAAGGACCTGAATTTGCCCAGGAAACTCACATCCTCAGTGCCACGGCCTACCTGACCAACCCTCCCGTGCCTTCCCTTCCCGATAGCACTGAAGTTCTGCAGACCTTCACAAGCTCCCTCATCTCCTCCAGAGCCGGAGCTAGAGGGTAAAGTGTTGTTCCATTAACCCCTGCCAACCCCAGGAGGGGACAGGAAGGTGGAGACTAGAAGAATGACTGCAGAGGGGGGAAAGGACAAGTGGGAATGGCCTGTAAACACCAGGCTGAACAAAGTCTCATCTTTGCAGACATCCCTTTTGTTGGGGCTTGTGTGGGCCGAGCAGCATTTGGCTTCTGCTTGGTGGCAAGTCCAAGCCACGTGGACTAGGTAGGCTCTCAGGGTCTATGGTGACATGGAGGCTCTGGAGACATGCACAGTCAGTTCAAACCCCAGCAGCCCTCTAACTAGTGGCATGGACAGGCCGACTTATTCAACTCTCCAAACCTACTACTTTCTTTATAAATGTGATCAGTAATATATACCCACTAGTGTGGTTGTGAGGAGTAAACAATATAACAGGCAAAGGCCAGTGCCTGAACACAGCCGTGCTAAACAGCTGTAACCGGCATAACCATTGTAATCTGGAGCTGGGGGTGACGGCTGAGAGGTGGAGAGTCAGCCAGTTCCTCGCTCCTCCAAGAGGGAGCCCAGTGAATACTTGAGACTTAACCTCTACAACACCTCAGATTCTTTATCTGCAAAGGGGACCAACAATAGCTACTTCTCGTGGTCGTTGGAGAGTTAATAAGTATTGAATATACAATACTAGTGCAATGCCTGGCACAAAGCAGACTGGCACTTAGAGTGTTGTTATCATGATCGAATGAATGAATGATTGTGCTTCCAGGGAACTTCTGCCGGCCAGAGCACTCTGCCCCAAGCCAGTGAGCGTTGTGAAGGCCCTTCTTAAAGGTATTTCAAATACCAGCCTCCACACATCCGCAAGCCCACAGCCCCCTCTCAAAGTGGGCACCTTCACACCACATCCTCAGGTCCCTGAGGGCTCAGGAAAAGTATCTGGTTCCTTCCCTACTTCTTCTCCCTCTTCCTGCCTCAGCCAGCCACTGCAGGGGCAGGGGAAATGGGGCAGCGATCAAGATGGGTAAGTGGTACAAGAAAGAGGAGTCAACAGATGCCAGTCACCAAGAAAGGCCACCAGGCAAGTGCTGACAGGACACGGTCCTGACCCAGAAGTTCAGCACGCAATTAATCAGCAAATACACTTGGCCTCACCTTCTCCTCCCTGGGATGTGCCTCCCTAAGGCTCCATAAAAGATACACCTTGAGGAGAGGTCTGGGGGCTTCCAGAGGGGTTTGAGCATCCAGTTCCCCACCTTGGGCAGACAATGGAGGAACAAGGTGGCTGGCAGCACCGCAGTCATCATGGCCGAGGCCCATGGGTTGAACCGGGCGGGGCCCGTGGGCTGAACTGGGACGCATTAGCCTCACCTTAGGGCACCCTGCTCAGGTCTGCTGCTTCCCCCATAGCCTCCCCTTCCCCCAACCCAGGGTTTCTGCGCGGGATGCCACCTGTGCCTTATGAAAACCTAATCACCACCATCTCCCCCAAGACAAGCTCACTCATGGGAAAGCCCAGTTGAGCAGCTCTTACTCAAGCAGCATTCATTCTTCCAGTGAACAAAGTGTTCCGTTCTGTTTCTCTGCAAAGGCCATGTTTCCTTTCCCATTATCTACCACATCGGCACACAAGCCTGCCACAAAAGATTTCTTCTTTCTTTTTGTTATTTTCACGGTCCCCTTTATTTATGAGTGGTTGTTTTTTCTTGGCTTTGGCTCCTTTTCGAAAGGGCAGGAGAGCAAGGGGAGGAGAACAGTTTCATAGTCTTTGATTTCATCTAAAATGCTCATCAAACAATCCCCAAAGCAGCCAGCCTGCACCCCAGTCTGCCTGGGACTCCAACTTCCAGCACCAGCACCCTTTGGAAACTGAGGCAGAAAAGAGCTAGATCTGACGAAGGGGTGGGATATGATATGATTCTGGGAGGAATCTTGACATCTGGAGCCCCCAATGGTAATAATAATAAAATAACAATGGTGACATTCAAAGTATTTAACAACTGAATGATGGGCACTAACCAGTGAGATAGGACTCTTGGGACAATCAGATGAGCTGGCAGATGCCAGACACACACTACTGGTTGCCACTCTGGTGTGCACCCCTCTGATCATAGCTGACATTTTCTGAGCACTGTTTGAGTCACTTTAATCGATCTTCACCATAACCATCTGAGGTAGACAATATTATGATCTCCATTTTACAGATGGAGAAACTGAGGCGCAGAGGTGATCTGAGCCCGGGCCGTCTAGCATCAGAATCCACCTCTCAACCAGACATCAGGACTCGGGCACACAATAAGCTAAGGGTACGGATAGGCATTAGCTCTTTGTAATACTTTCCCCGGCCCTGTGAAATAGTTACTGTTACCTGTTTTACCGATGAGGACACAAAGGCTTAAGGAGGCTAAGCTACTGCCAGTGAGTGGTGAGCAGGACACTGACCCAGAGACTGGGTGTCGAGTCCCTTCTTTCAAGCACTGGATTACACTGGCTTCTCTTGCACTTGTTTGAGGTCCCAAGAGCCATGGAAAATCATCACCTGGAGCCTGAATCACCTGCCCCTCAACCCCAATCTCTGCTGGCCGTCTGCTGCTCTCATGATGCGGGGTCAAGGGACCCAAGCAGGTCCTAGCTCAGTTGATGTTAGAAAAGTCAAAGGCAAACGCCACGTGCAGACATCAAATGACTCAACGCCAGGGTCCTAACATAGCATCCTCCAAGTGAGTTCAGGGCAGCACTGGAGGGCGCAGGGCTGCCCCAGTCCCTGAGCTCCCTAAGCTATCACCTCTTCTTTGTTTCCTGGCCATCCTTCCTTGGCCTCTACCCCGACACCTCCACTCCCTCTCCCTTAGCTTCTCACCAACAGCAGCGAGCAGAGCTGTGCACTTCACAGACACCCCCAACATACGTGCCTAACTATTATTGCAGTCATCTTATTTTCTTATCAGTTTTTTTCTGACTCTGAAAGGAATGTGTACTCATTGTAGAAAAGCTGCAAATTTAGAATAACATAAAGAAGACAAAAAGAAATTAAAGTCACTTCCCATTAATCCAGAGGTGGTAACTGATAACAATTTGGCCTCTTTCCATCAATTATTTTTCCTGTGTGTCGTTTTCTTCTTCATCATTCAGCTCATAAGCAAGCTTTTGCACTATTCCCCCCCCACACACACACTTAATAGTGTATCAGGGGAAGTTTTCATGTTACTAAAAAATGGAAATTATTTAAAATTCTTTAGGGAATTCCCTGGCGGTCCAGTGGTCAGGGCTCCTCGCTCTCACTGCCGAGGGCCCAGGTTGGATCCCTGGTCAGGGAACTAAAATCCCACAAGCCGCACAGCCAAAAAAAAGAAAAAGAAAAAAAGAAAGAAAAGAAAATTCTTCATGAAGTCATTTGTAATGGTTGCCCATCTCTTCAGTGGCTGTACCATAATTTACTTTATCCAATGCCCATGGTTAAAACAATCCAACTCTTTAAATCTCATATTACTGAAACCTCCTCTTCACCCACAAGGTCATCTACCCTCCAGATACTTCTGGTGGGCCAGAGCCATTCTGCTCCTATGACAGATGGGAAGGAAAGGGCCCTGACAAACAGCAGACAGAGCAAGGTAGCAGAAGGACCTCACCTGCCTCTTTTTTTTTTTTTTTTAAATTTTTAATCGAAGTATAGTTGATTTACAATGTTGTGTTAGTTTCGGGTGTACAGCAAAGTGATTCAGTTATACATATATATATTCTTTTTTAGATTCTTTTCCCTTATAGGTTATTACAAAATATTGAGTATAGTTCTCTGTGCTATACAGTAGGTCCTTGTTGGTTATCTATTTTATATTTAGTAGTGTGTATATGTTAATCCGAACTCCTAATTTATACCCCCTCCCCTCACCTGCCTCCTCTTGATGGGACAAGTATGTAGCAAAAGGAGTACAGGATGGAATATGGAGGCTGTGACAGAGGCCCGGAAGCGTGGGCCCAGGGCCTGACTGCTTCTGCAATGGGGAGGACACGTCTCAGAGTTTCTCGGGGCCTGACTTCCCCATAAAAAGTTGGAGAACCACAATAAGATGCCACTTCACACCCATTATGATGGCTATTGCTTTTAAGAAAAGAAAAAGCAAAAAGAAGTGTTGGCAAGGATGCAGACAATTGCTGGTGGGAATGTGAAACGATATAGCTGCTGTGGAAAACAATATGGTGGTTTCTCAAAAACTGAAACATAGAATAACCATATGATCCAGCAATTCCCCTTCTGGGTGTTACCCAAAGGAGGGAAAGCAGGACCTTGAAGGGATGTTGCACACCCGTGCTCATACAGCATTATTCACAATAGCCAAAAGGTGGAAACAACCCCAGTGCCTGTGGAGGAATGAATGGATAAAATAAAATGTGGTAAACATATACAACAGGATATTATCAGCCTTAAGGAGGAAGCAAATTCTGGCACACGCTACAATATGGATGAACCTTGAAAACATTACGCTAAGTGAAGTAAGCCTAAGTGAAATAATCAAAAGACTAATATTTCTTGATTCTGCTTATATGAGGTACTTAACAGTTCAATTTATAGAGACAGAAAGTAAAATAGAGGTTACTAGGGGCTGGGGAGAGGCGCAAAGGGGGAGTTATTGTTTAATGGATACAGAGTTTTAGTTTGGGATGACACAAACTTCTGGAGATGGACAGTGGTGACAGTTGCACAGTGTAAATGTACTTAATGCCTCCAAACTGTACAATTAAAAATGATTAAAATGGTAAATTTCATTATTGTATAGGCTACCACAAAAAAGAAGATGGAGAACATGAAAGTGCTAATAATTTACACCTTCATGGCACCTTTAATCTTGCAGACAGGCAGAGGTGAGAGCATAACACAGACTCACAGGCTGGGGACTCATGTCCGGCCAGGGGTCAGGGAGCGCGCAGGCTGGAGGCTAGCTGCCTTTAGAGAACCCCTTGCTCACCAAGCCATAATTAACGTAACTAATTGAAGTGTCTAAAAAGGCCAGAGCCAGACAGTGCCAGACCCGCCCCACCAGCTAGGCCTTCCTTTCAGTGCCTCCCTCACCTCTAGGAACAATGAAAGGCTTTTACCTGCCATGCAGAGACAGGTGTATTCAGGATTCCTCAGCAGGGAGAGAAAGGGATCTGGGGGGAGGAAGATGCGGATAGAGGAAGAGATTTTGCTCACTTCCTCTAAGTCAGTTCCTTGGCTTTCCCGGAAATCTTTGCCTCAATTGTCCTTCTTAGGGTGGCAGTTTCAAGGAAAGCACTGGGCTGACGCCTGGTTTCCAGAACAGCTCTCTCCCCACCTCCCCACCCCCGACTTGCTGAACAACACTGGGCAGTTCCTCTACAGCTCTGTACCTCCTTGAGGTCCATTTGGGGAGGACAGAGGGACGATAATCCAAACAAATAGTCTAAAGAAGAAGGTCTGGGGCTTCCCTGGTGGCGCAGTGGTTGAGAGTCCGCCTGCCGATGCAGGGGACGCGGTTTCGTGCCCCGGTCCGGGAGGATCCCACATGCCACGGAGCGGCTGGGTCCATGAGCCATGGCCGCTGAGCCTGCGCGTCCGGAGCCTGTGCTCCGCAACGGGAGAGGCCACAGCAGTGAGAGGCCCGCGTACCTGCTGCTGAAGGAGGTTGATCTTATGCTGCTGCTGAATCAGCTGTTGCTGCTGCTTGGCGATCTGGCAGAAGGAAAGAGTAGGTGATGGGAACATGCACCTTAGGCCCCAGGATCCCACCTCCCACAAGCCTTTGCGGCCCCACCCACACCCTGCCTCCCGTGCCTAGCGCAAGGACATGGAGGACAGCTGGACAGGGCAAGAAGCCGAACAGCCAACCCTCAGGATTTATTCTCCTTCCTCGGAGACCAAAGATGGAGGTTAGGCAGGAAGCAGCCAGCTGCTTTTACTCAGAGCCCCGCAGCGCCGCTCCACGCCCTGTCTCCTCACAAGGGCTGATGAACCGCCAGAGGTGGGAATGCCCAGCCCCTGCCCACGGCCCCCCTCCCCACCTGCCCCCACCATGCTCCGCTCTAGGCCCTGGACCAGACCCCCATCCCTGGAAAGAAAGCCAGACACCAAGCAGGGCCTACCTGCTCCTGCTGCTGCCGGGCCAGCTCCACCTGCTGCTGCTGCTTCTCAAAGAGCATAGCGGCCATGTTCTTCTGCTCGGAGTGGGCCGTCAGGAGCTGGTCCCGCAGGGTGGACAGCTGATGGATCATGACCAGCAGCTGGAGCTCCTTCTCTGCCAGGCTCTCCTGGGTCCCTGCTCCACAGTGAAGCAACCACCGTTGAGAACTTTTGTTTGTTCATCTGTTACAGGTCCATCCATATGACACTGAGCAATCGCTCTGCCCCAGGGCCCCGTCAGGGGCTGGACCACAGAGATGACTGAGATACAGTCCTTGCCCTGGAGGGGCCTCCTCATCTTGTCACCTGACAACTAGCTGCTCTAGAAGGTCCCCACCATCACTCACCGATTCCAGGCCCTGGAAATGCTGACGGTGGGGCATCTCAGCCCTGGCCCACCTCTGGGATGTCCTCAAGTGCCCAGTGCCACTGGGTCAGGGTGGATAACTAACCCACTGGAGGGCCCAGAATGACACGCTTAGGCTTTGGAGCAAGACAGATCTGGGTTCAAATTCCCCTTTTAACTCATCCCTCCTGGGAGCTGCTGGGCAAGCTACCAACTTCTCTGCACTTTCGTTTTTTGAATATATAAATGAGCACAACAATCGACACTTCACAGGGTTGCTGGGAGGGTTGAAGGTATTGAATGTAAAGCTGAGTCCCGAATCTGGCACATGGTCCTCAACTAGCAATGTCAGTGCTTCCTTGTCTCTAATCCAGTTCATGTCAGATGCAGCAGTTACTCCTAAGTGCCAGGATGCAGACCATGTGCATCAGAATTACTCGGGGAGCCTTTGAAAAATACAGATGCCCAGGCCCCCATCCTCTGGGGTTCTCATTCAGTAGGCAGGGGTGGAACCTGGGGACCTGCATGGTTTTAAAGATTCCTCTGGGAGTGTGATTAACCACACTGGGAAACTTATCACCCTGATGAACCTAGGCAACACTTTAATTCACTTAATGAGGTCCTGGTGGCCTAGAATTAATTTCCAGCAGTGAAAGGGAACGTTCGGCTCATTTTATAGTGAGATCTGAGAAGTGGCTAAGACATCCCCAAGGTCTCAAGGGTCCCAGGGGATTTGATTCCCACCAGGCCCTCTGCTGCATGGGAATAAGCCTAGTGCTTGGACCCCCCCCCCCGGGTGAGGGATGGTGCACACCCCTAGGACCAGGCAGGAGCCAGAGTGGCACAGGCCAGGTGTGAGGGCACCAAGAGCCCCAGAAATTGCCCTACAGGCCTAGACTGCAGGGCCAGGCCTGGAGAAGGGAAAGGGGTTCAGACATCTGTCCTCTGCCCACCCATATGGGCCTTCACCTTTGACATCTTTGGTTTCCACACAGCTCCTTCCCAGAAACCTCTCCTTCCAGTCACTGGACAGCAGCTTCTCGATGGCCGGCACGACTGGAAGATACCAAAGGGCTAAGGAGTAACTGTCCTAACACCTCCCCACCCAGGCCCCCGTCCCTGACTAGGGCAGACGACGTCTTACCTTCTTTTAAATTTCGGTTGAAGTCCAGCTTCTCCTGGCTTCCAGAAGCAGCCTCAGAGCCTCCTGGTCTCTTGGGTTCTGGGGACCCGTTGCTTTCCAGGGAGCTGCTGTCCTGTAAGACACACTGAATATCACTGTCACCCCCAAGGGAATGGGGGCAGACTGCAGTGTGGGGGGCTGAGCGCCCCAGGGATGTGTATCCTAGGGGAACTCCAGAATCTACCCAGCCCCACCCTCCAGTAGGGCCCTCCCTTCCCACCTTCCCAACCTTTGCTCTGACTTGGCTTGATAGATTTGGTGAAAAGAACAAAAGGTTTAAAGACAAGAGACCTGGGCTCGGTGATTCACAAGGTGCTTGAGCCCACATGAGTCCCTGAACTTCTCTGAACCTGACCTCGGTCTTCCGAAAATGGAAATACTAATACGTCCCCTGCCATAGACGATTGTTGCTGGGATCAAGGGAGATAATGCATGTGAATGAGGTTTGCCACTGCAGACTAAAGAGGCCAAAAGCCTCCCTTGTATGCACCTACCACTCCAGCCCCGCAGGTTACTCTCAAGGCCCCCACCCCACCCTCTTTAAGACATTGTCCCCTCTCTCCTCTTCTCATCTGAGTCCTCTCCATTCTTTAAGACCCAGCTTAAAGCCCTACTTATCCAGGAAGTCTTCCTCGATCACCACCCCTACCCCTTAGCCCCCTTTCACATACTCCTCCTGGCTGGATCCCTCCTCAGAGCCCTAAAACTCTCCTCATTTTCACTCATTTGGCTTTTGATTAGGTAGTCCCTTTTTACATCTCTTGCATGGAATCACGGAGTTTTTAGGAGCTGCAAGAATCTTCACCACTCATGTAGTTCAGCCCCTTCATTCTGAGAATGAGGAACTGTACTGTCTTTAATAGCAATTTAACTCTGGTTCGGTTAATAAGGCTGCTTTTCTCGACTCATATGAAAAAGCTAGTAGATTATCTTTAAGCCAGCCTGTGAGCATGTGTGTCCTATTTCTCAACTAGTCTTCAAGGGTAAGGACTGGTCACACATAGGTGAGCAGTTCATATCAGGTGAGTGAGGGCAGAAGTGAGTTCATGTCCCGCTCTGACAGGTAGCCCGACCCACCCACCCACCTAAGTCTTGCCCCAGAGGAGAATGCTTCTGCCTGCCCCTCTGCCCAGCTAGGCTGGTGGGTGCCTGCTCCACCCACTAGGGGGAAGGGCACAGGCATAGGAGCTACAGAGGCAGGGTGGGGACACTGACCCAGGAGCCCCTAGGAGAGTGCTGGGCACCTGGGCTGGAGCTGGAGGGTCAGCACCATCCTGGGGGGCCCGGGCTGGATCTCCGGGCTGGGGTTCAGCTGCGGTGGCCAAGCCCTGGGGGGCCTCGTGGCAGGGCTCCTTCTTCCCCTCTGACTTGACAGTACAGTTCACCATGGTGCCACCGTCATCCAGGGCCAGCTGGGCAGAGCCGGGGCTTCTCATGGACATCCTGAGGGAGGAGGGGCAGAGGGAGGGAGGCGAGTCCTGAACCCCGAGGCAGTGACTGTTCCCCCAGCCCCAAACAGGTACATTCATGCAAAAGGCAAGCTTCCATTTGGAACTCACTGTGACAAACCGGAAAAGATTCTTGTCTACCCACCCACCCACCTTTTTTTTTTTTTTTTTTTTTAACAGAAAGGTCTAGAGAAGACTGGGCCAACATTTGGCCTGCCCTGCCTGTTGCAGTGTTGGAACTAGTGGGCTGATGGGTCTCCCTGAGAAGGCTAGAGATTGTCAACTGGCTCCTTCTGAGCCCAATAAAGCCAAGATCATACAGTACGTGTCTGTGTATGTACGTACTTGTAATTAGTTACCAAAATTTAAAAATCAAGAGATATCCCATAAAAATCTGGATTTGAACTTCTCTTGAAGTTGGTCTGTGGCTGGAATTGAGCAGCAGTTACTCTCTATGAACAGGCCAGTTTGCCCTACTCTCCACCACTCCCTCCTACTCCCCAAAAGGGAAACCAAGCATCAACTACCCTATACACTTACTCTTTGCTTTCCTTAGAGTAGAGACAAGATAAAAGTGAACTATTTGGAACAATTTCTTATATCCGTGTATCTATCTACCAAAAGTGAGGAATGAAGTAAGCTGAGAGATGAGTAGCTTTCAGAAAAATATTTTCTTATGTGAGAGTCTCTCAATTAGAGTCTGGCCCCTGTGGGCCTCTGCAGTCCCTGGTGTAATATACGCAGAGACTGCATCCCCTGCCTCCTGTTGCTGACATCCCACTGCGTGGGATCACTACGTAGATGAGCAGGATCCTGGGAGTAGTTTTCAGTGGTTATGTCAAGCTCAAGGCCAGAGTAGCAGTTGCCCAGAGCTCACTTGCTCACCCTCCAAAGTGACCAAGAAAAGACAGGTGGGGACACACAGCAGGTCCCAAGTAGGCATGGGTCTTGCCTCAGCTACTTCACTAGCTGCTGAGTGACCTTGGGCAAGTTACTTGACCTTTCCACACCTGTTTCCTCATCTGTAAAATGGGTGGTGTGAGGGCTATGAATTGATATTTACAAGGTGTTTAGAATAATGCTTTGTACTAGTAAGCACCGAAGTAGCCTTTGTTAAAGCACTGCTGGGTGGAATGCAGCACAAGGACAACAGCCTCAACATAGCTGGGGGGGTGGGCGTGGGAGGCTTGTTTGAAAGACAAAGTCATGGGTCACCCAAAATCAGAAATTCTGTGGGTGAGGAGGGCATGGATCTGTTTTCACAAGCCCTCCAGGTGATTCTGATACATACTAGTTTGAAAAGCACTGTTAAATAAAAATGTTTTAAAACTTTGCTTACATGGGCATTAAATTTTTAGGAGGGGAGTGTAAGGCAAAAATTATATATAGTAAAACATCCCTTAAATTAAACTGCAGGTGCAGTATAACATTTGTATATTACATCAACTGTATAATAAAATGTTTCTTGTAATGTATAACGAATGATGCAATGTGCCATGTACAATAGATGTATACACTGTGTACAATACATGTACAGTATTTTACATGAAATAACTTAATGTGTCTGATTTGATGCCATCCTACAGATCAGACGAGACTAAACTCTCCCTCCACTTTCAAAGGGCAGGGTGCCCTGGGGGCTGGCGTGGGACTCAGGACAGGGCACTGCAGGATGAGCAGAAGAGACATACATCAGCCCAGGAGAAGACACCCCAGCCCAGCTCACCCTGAGGCTTTAGGGTGCAGCTCTGGGTCCCCTCCCACCACCCAGGGACCCGGAGAGCGGCCCGGAAGCAGGCGCTCGGCCCATCCGGGCACAGGGAGGGGCGCAGAGCCAGGCCCCGAGCAGGGGGCTGGGCGTGGGGGAGGGGAAGTCGGGGAGTGGTATTATCCTGAAGCTGAGGGCAGCAATTACATAACAAACAAACCCGGGGCTCAAGCTGTGAATTAATCAAACCGCTGAAAATAAAACCTTCCTCTCAGGAACTTCAGACAAAAGAAATGAAAACAACCAGGCTGGCTGGAAAATAAAAGACAGCAGCGCTGAAATGGGGACAAAAGGAAACCAGACAATAGGGTGTTGGACAAAGGCAATAAAGCCAAAGGAAGTGTGACAGGCGAACAATGCGGGCCTGTGGGCTTCTGATCCCCGGCCGCCTCCGCGCCGCGGGCCCACACCCACCGCGCCACTGCGCCCGCCAAGCCGCCGGGTGGCCTCCTCAGCTCGGGACTGGGGTCCTGAGGGCTTTCTCCTCCCGGCGGTCCCCACTTCATGGCCTTCCAGCGCCTACCTCAAAGCCTTTCTTCCCACTGCAGCCCAGAGACCCCGGAGGCAGCCGCAGGGCGCACAGTTAAGGGAGCGTCGGACACCGGGCTGGGCCCCCAGTGCCAGCCGCCCACCCAGAGCTGCGGACCCGCTGTGCATAACCCCCAGCTGAAGGCGGAGGCAGAGGAGACGATGATCTGCCCTAATGAACTCCAGGACCGCAATGCTCAGGACCGTGGCCACTTGCCACGCGGCTGCTGAGCAACCTGTACCACGGCCGGTCCCAATGCAAACGTGCTAAGTACAAACTACATCCCTACTTTGGAAGGGTTAGTACAAAAACAGAATGTAAAACAGCTCATTAATAACTGGTTGTTGATTACACGTTGAAATTACACTTTGGATACTGTTGGGTTAAATAGAATACATTGTTAAAATTCGTTTCACCTGTTTCTTTTTGCACTTCTTATTGTAGCTACGAGAAAACATTAAAAGTATATATGTGAGGACTTCCCTGGCGGTCCAGTGGTTAAAGACTGCCTTCCAGTGCAGGGGGTGTGGGTTCAATCCCTGGTTGGGGAGCTAAGATCCCACATGCCTTGTGACCAAAAAAACCAAAACATAAAACGGAAGCAATATTGCAACTAATTCAATAAAGGCTTTAAAACTGGTCCACATTAAAAGAAAGTCTTTAAAAAAATTATATAAGTGGCTCACATTATATTTCTGTTGGAGCAGTGCTGCACTAAGACATCTCCTCCCTTTGAGCTTGATGGCTTTTTCTACCCACACTTAACCCCCAAGAGTACTTCCACCTGGGTACTGGGATTATCTTTATTTGGGAAGCCTACCTCCTGGAGCTCCCAACAGCTCACCCTGGCTTCTGGCACAGCACCTGGTAACAAAGAAAATGGCTCCTGGTGACCAGCCAAGGTAGCGTGGAGGTGTCAGTCTGTTCACCAGGGCATGGTACCCACCAGATAACCCTGCCAGACCCTGCTAGCAGCCCAGACAAGGGCCCTTCATTCCCACAGGTGCCTGGCTCTACTTCAGGCACTGGCACTGGCTCTCCGTTGGTCCCCTCTCTGAACCCATTGGTTTATGGAGAAGCAACAGCCCAGGCTTGATGCAGAGTGCAGGCTTTTGGGTTCAATAGTCTGGATTCAAATCCATGCTTTGCCACCAGCTGACTTGTGTGACCTTGGGAAGTTAACTCTGAGCCTCCATCTCCTAATCCATATAATGGGTGTAATAATCCATGTCACAGGTGTCCATGAAAATTTAATAATACAGGGTGAGCATCCATTAAGTTGTCATATAGCCCAGGATGCTTCTAGAGCCAGGCGGTTGAGAGAAAAGTCTCTGGGGTCAGATAGACCTGAGTCCACTTGAATCCCAACTCTGATTAATTAATTGCTGTGCAACGGTGGCCACGTGACATAACCTCTCTAAACCCCAGTTTCCTCCTCAGTGAAATGGGAATAAAAAACCCCTGTATGGGGCTTCCCTGGTGGTGCAGTCGTTGAGAGTCCGCCTGCCGATGCAGGGGACGCGGGTTCGTGCCCCGGTCCGGGAAGATCCCACATGCCTCGGAGCGGCTGGGCCCGTGTGCCATGGCCGCTGAGCCTGCGCGTCCGGAGCCTGTGCTCCGTAACGGGAGAGGCCACAACAGTGAGAGGCCCACGTGCCAGAGGAAAAAAAAAAAAAACCTGTATATAGGAATGAGCCTTCCATTTAACACTCCAGACCCTATGAGATGTGACTGTTTTACATTCTCTTGGCACCCTGAAACTTGGCCTTCAAAGTACTTTTCACAGTTGGTAATGATACCTTCACATGTTTTATTTCTGACTCGCCCTGTAGCCTGAGAACCCATCCAACCTCACACTGTGGAAAGGTCCTTGTCTTTGCTCTTCATTGTAGCCCCAGAGTCTAGCACAGTGCCTGGAACATACAGGTGCTCAATAAATCCTTGTACAACACTCAGAGAATTTAATACAGTTCAGCAGCTCAGCACAAGGCAGACCTGAATGCATAGTGAGTGACAGCTATTACTACCATCGTTATTAGATAGATGTTGCTCTCTGCGGTTTATTTCTCACATCTCCACCTCCCACACCCACTTACCCTCAGCTGCATCTTCCTTGCGTCTAAGTTCTTCCCATGAGTGACCCAAATCTCCCAGTAGCAAAGCAAGTCCATTTCCCTTTGTTCCTACCTTGGGACAGGTAAGAAACATTTTCCACACCACCTTTTGAATTTAAAGACCCTGTTGGAGTCTTCCCTTAAGTCTCTTCCAGAGACTTAAAAAAAAAATTCCCTTATTACCCTTTCCCTACAAAGCATGCTCCATGCTTCAATCATACACATGGTTTTTCAGGAGGTTTTAAGGTCAGCAGCCACATCCTCCCCTCTCCCCAGACGCCCAGAAGTCAAAGACTCTTTTAGTACACAGGAGATGTGAATTACTGGGCTCCACCAGTTCCCACCCAGGTCCTGGTCAGAGGCCACAAGCCCACAGGACTCTCCAGTGGGACTCTCACTTGGGTGGAAGTGCTCCTATGTACCCAATCTCCTTCCTCTCACCCAGCCTTACTCATATGTTATAAATGGGGAAACTGAGGCCCAGAGAGGTCAAGTTCATGTGGCTTGTTTGGGCAGTACTGTTTCAGGAATACAGAGTCAGAAGACCTTCAACCAGCTGGGACATGGAACAGTATTCCTGCTCT